GAGAGAGAGAGAGAGAGAGAGAGAGAGAGAGAGAGAGAGAGAGAGAGAGAGAGAGAGAGGCGGACGGACGGATGGACGGACGGGCGGGCGGGCGGACGGACAGACGGACGGACGAACGGACGGACGGACGGACGGACGAACGGACGGACGGACGGACGGATGAACGGATGGATGGATGGATGGATGGATGGATGGATCGAGAGACCTCCACAGTTCCCAACATCAAAGACGTCAGAGAGTTCACTTGTAGTAACGGCCTCGTGGCGTGTCAACATCATCCTCTGGATTCTCTCTTCAAGCCAGCGCCGGTCCAACCTCTGCAAATAGCGACGTGCGAGGATCCATCTTCTTGTGTGCACCGTGTGACCGTCTACTTTCATTGTGAGATAGTCAACTCTCTCTCTCTCTCTCTCTCTCTCTCTCTCTCTCTCTCTCTCTCTCTCTCTCTCTCTCTCTCAAGGAGAGGAGCCTCAGAAGGCTACAAGGTTCACAACCTGTAGAGAGACAATACCAATGAAAAAAAGAGAGCTGTGCTGAGCAAAACCGGAATTACACGCTTGCATCATGCACAATGACAGCGAAGTTTTCAGTTACACTCAGTAATTAATTAAATTAATTAAACAATTAATTAATGGGGGTAATGATGAGACCCCCAATTTATTACTGCTTGACAAATGATGCAGCACGTGTAAGAAACTTGGGTTAAAAGCGAAAAAAAAGGAATCATGACCGTCAAAGATCCTGCTGCAGCAATTTGTCATCAAATCCAGCTTCACAAAATGCACAACGTAGATGACGTCTCCCCATCGGCGGGTTGTACCACCCCAATACAGCACCTGCCGAATCTCGACCAATTCACGTACTTATTCAGTTTTTCTTTTTTTTGCTTTATAAGTTTATAGATTTACTTCGAGTGGAGCAAGAAAAGTGCTCCCTGTTTCAAGCCAGTCTCGGCCACAAACTTTGGCCATTTCTGGGCCACAAACTTTGGCCATTCCGGGCCACAAACTCTGGACATTCGGGGACAAAAACTTTGGCCATTTCTGGGCGACAAACTTCGGCCTCTCTGGGCCACAAAATTTGGCCATTTTTGGTAATTTCTGGGACACAATCAGTGGCAATTATGATCTAGGACTTGAATCAATGGCCAGTGTGGTCCACAGACTTTGGTCATTTCTGGGCCACAAACTTTGGCCATTTTCGGGCCCGCAAACGTTGGACATTTCCAGGCCACAAAATTTGGCCGTTCTGGGCCACGAACTTTGGGCAATGGCCATTCTGGTCGACAAACTTTGGTAATTTCTGGGTCACAAACTTTGGCCATTTCTGGGCCACGAACATTGGTCATTTCCGGGCCACAAACTTTGGCCATTCTGGTCATTTCTGGCCCACAAACTCTGGCCGACTGGGTCATTTCCATGCCAACTCTCCGCACTCCAAACTCTGGTCGTTTCTGGGCCACAAACTTTTGTGCCTCTTCAGGGCACCAACTTTGCCCATTCTGGGCCCACAAACATGCGGCGAGAAATATGTGTACTTAACAGCAAAAGGATCGTAAAACCCCTAAACCCTAAGCCCTTAACCCTAAACCCTATGCTCCTAACAATGAAAAAACGGTCTGTATGGAGGTGGCTATCGATTATGTTGACGCTCAAGGCGTGTGAAGGAAGGAGCACGTCTTTGCGATTGTTGCTCATGTGCTTGGGTCTTCTAGTCACATGTCATAGATCATGGGTTCGACGAGTCTGGCTTGGGACTTTGCGGGGGGTTCTTGCCCAGCTTGGCCTGTCATAGTTCCCTCTACACAGTACTGCACATTCCTGGCCCTTGGGCCCATACATCTCGCTATACAATTACGCAGAGCATACATACCCCCCAAGATGTCGGTTCGTGTGCGGGTCCGATAGAGGCGTATTACCGCGCATACCCCCTATGCTACAACGAACGAGAAACGCCCTCGGCTGGTCCACCTCTGCGATTGCAACTGATCAGCTTTCGTACTGTGGACTGGTAGCTCGGTGGGGATACGCCCACCGAAGGGAGGTGACAACTCTCGTAAGGTGGAGGTAAGTCGTGCCTCGCGTAGGCCCTATCCTGTTGTAGCCTCTGGGCACACACACATACACACAACTATGATAGTCGGCTGCGGGGGTCTATCAGGTACATGACGGGGTCTACTCATGCATGTCTTAGCTCAAGGGTAGGGTAGGGATATAAACTGCTCCGGCTAGTCCGAGTTCCGCCTAGCCTTAGGTAAGCTAGGGGAAGGACGGTAGGATGTGTCCGTGGGCGCCAGCTTGCCTTGCTTAGGTACTCCTGCTGGGTAGACTCTCTCTGATATTCGGCCTGTGGAAGATTGCATGAGCCTGGCGTCCGATGTTCCCGTACAGCAAGGTTCGTCCGCTTCGGCTTCCAATAGGGCTGGGGGGTTGGCCCAGCCTTGGTGCTTGTCACTGCTGTCTGGTCCAAGTTGCCCTCGATACTGGTAGTAGGGTGATGTTCCTGGGTGTTTGTTTTTTTTGTCCGAATAAACTCCCTTCCAATGCTAGTGGTGCTGGTAAGAAGAGACACCACTAGCACCTGAGGAGAGGCTCCATCTAGTGGAGGGTGATGGTTCTGATACTGGTCGCAGTAAGGTAGGATAGTAGGGACAGGGGGTGCGCTGGGGGTAGTAATGTGGGGATGGGTAGGGTAGGTGGTTTATCCTGTCAAGACGCAATCATTGGCTGCCGCTGCCAGCAATCACCGCGGGTGTGATCCTTGGCCTCTACAACACTCTGGGCTTTACGGAAAGGGAAAAAAAAAAAGAAAAAGAAAAAGAAAAAGGGAAGGAGCACGACCTTGGCGGCCAAAAACAATGAAGACATCTCCTGTCTGGAGGTGGTTATCAATTACCTCAATGCTACAGGCAAGTGAAGGAAGAAGCATGCCCTTGGTGGGTGACGTGCTGTTATTAAGATGACATGGACCGCGCTGCACACGATTTGCAGAGCATCAACCGCGGCCAACGCTACGATAAGCGTCGCGAGGATTCCTTGCGACCAGCCGGCTATGTTACGCTCCTTTTTCTTGGCTGAATCGGGAGGGCAATTCTAGCGACATTGCTCTGTGGGTACAGTACCGACCACCAATGTGAACTGACTAGTTATGTCGTACGGCTCTAGCCGTGAACAACGATGACGGCACAGCTTGTCCCAGTTCGACACATCGATGGACATGTGCGAGAGAACGAAGACAGGCGTCAAACAGCCATGATCCATCATGAGGACGCACACGGTCGGTCACATACTATACTATTCTTCCTGTTCCCCCCTTAACCCCCCAGTAGATGGCCGCAGGCAACTGGATAACTTTCTTTTTTTTTTTTTTTTTTTTTTTGAGCCTCTATCCGAAAAGTTAGGATGCCAAGCGCCGTAGATCACATGAATCTGCGGCGGGGCGGCCTCCGAAAGCGGCCCCGAATTCATAGCTGGCATGTACTGGTGGTTTTTGACCGGTCCCCGGTTCCACCCGGTTCCAGGTCACACAAGGTCCACATATTCCTCTTGTTTCTTTTAGAGTGTTTGGAGCCTTAGGCAGGACACACTATCGATCTTACTTTTGCTAAAAATAGTCCTTGAGTGTAGCAAGCCCCCCTGCCAATGGCTTTGCCTTAACCATGCTTGCTTGGGAAGGCATGAATGGGTTGCAAAACTGCCTACAGTCTTCACCAGAATAGATTGTCCCGTCATCACACGGATGCAGACCTGTATTTGGCGCAACTTTCAGTCTCGATACAGCGATAAAGACGAATCGAGGGTTGAAAACAGTCCTTGGGTGTAGCAAGCCCCCCTGCCAATGGGTTGCCTTACCCATGCTTGCTTGGGGAGGCATGAATGGGTTGCAAAGCTGCCTACCGTCTTCACCAGAATAGATCGTCCCGTCATCAGGCGGATTCAGACCTGTATTTGGCGCAACTTTCAGTCTCGATACAGCGATCAAGATCAGCTGAGGGTCGTAAGCGGGTGAAGACGGTAGGCTGATGATGCTGACTTAGTACAGCCATAGCACTCACTTAGCACATGCATAGCACCAAAGGGTCATGCTTGAAAAGCATGAATTTGGTTGCAAAAACTGGCTAGGTTCAGGGCCACTTAGCAAAGTCATAGCACTGGCATAGCACATGCATAGCACATGCATAGCACCAATGGGTCATGCTTGGAAAGCATGATTTGGTTGCAAAAACTGGCCAGGTTCATGGCCACTTAGCACAGGCATCGCACTCGGTTAGCACATGCATAGCACCAATGGGGCCTGGGCCTGTACTTGACGGCAGAGGGCAACAAATGAGAGAGCAATTGAGGGCGTACTCACAGTACCGTAGGACTTTTTTTCGACTGACTCTGGGCATAATCACAGTCAGATACGGCCAGGCCTGACCGTAATTGCGGTCAGATACGCCAAGGAAAGCCCTGGTGTTAGTGTGCCCTTCCTCAGAAGCTCAGAAGTGACTTAATCGCCGCTTCCTCCTGTTGAGTTATTCCTTCGACAACCGTCGCAAGCGCCTGTAATCGCAACAAACCAGCCTCCCAAGAATCCTCCCCACCACCACCTCCTCTTCCCGTAACCACTTTTTGTTTCGGTGCATATTCTTGATAACAATGCGAACTGTCGCGCAGGAGGGTTTCCCTTGGAGAAGCACTCTTCTTCTCTGCCTTCTTCACTCTCACCTTCGGACCGCCTGACGCAAACATCGTCTCTGTGTTTTCGACTCTTGCTGCATTCGCTTCTGACTTGTTTTCGACATTCCCTGCGCTCGCTTCTGACAAGGTGCTCCATTTGGGTTCTTCCTCCCTCCCCTGCCCCTCCATTTCATCAACGTCAACATTCTTACTGGCTCCTTCTCCTTTCTCCCCCCCTCCCCCCTCCGTCGCTCCTGCACCGGGGCATCTGTTTAGATGCATCCAGTACTCGTGAGCTGGAACTGCATAGATCTGTGAGCAAAAAGGGCACAATCGACCAATTATGCGCTGCTGTCTCACCTGCGCGTTCGACTTCGTCTTTCTCCACTTCTCTTCTCTGAGCACCCCTGCCGAGCTTTCAAGCTCTTTGTCGCCCTCGGCTATCGCTATTGCGGTGTCAAGTGTTGTCTTCACAAAACACGCCTTCACGTGTTTCCGGAAATCTCGGAGCGGGCAATCGTAAGCCTCGCTGCAGTGGGGACATGCGCGACTCGTGTTCCGAGCTTCCCTCCGGCTTTCCCCTGATCCATCATTGCCCATCATCTTCATCTGTGGTTCTACGGTTCTGTCAGGCGGTCGACAAACATTCTTCACCACGCCGACTTCGCCGTCTTCTGCACGAGGATCTAGATGATCCAGTCCAATGCCCAGCGCGCTCTCTTCGCACACCTTCTTCCTAAGGAATTCCTCGTCATCCTCATCGTCAAGTAGTCTTCCTCGGTGATTGCGGCGGTAATCGCCCGGGTTGTTCCGTCGATTCTCATAGGTTTGGCTATGGCCATAGCTCTGTCGATTTCCACCATAGCTGTCGCCGTGAAGCTCGTGACCTGTTCGCACACCGTGACTTTGACTTTGACTTGGACTTGGACTTTGACTTGGACTTGGACTTTGACTTGGACCACGGCAGTGTTTTGAGGGCGGTGAGGCAGGCCCGGAGCCACTTGCTTGGTGATCATTTCCGTGCCGCTCTGCGATTGCTGCCGACGTATCGTCTGCATTTTTCTTCTTGATTGCACGCCTCCTCTCAAACGCGTGCAATGTGAGCTCCCCTGCATACCAGATGCCGTCACATTTTGATGTCCACGTGCTTCTCCGCAATCTTGTCGACCGCCGCTGTGGAAGATCGGTTGAATTGCTCGACGTTGGCGTTGTTGGTAAGCAAAAATTGTCATCGCAATCCCCTTGAAGAGGGGGAGGGGGAGGGGGAGGGGGAGGAGGAGGAGGAGGAGGTGGTGGTGGTGCATGAGGTGTGCAGAAATCATCCTTTAGGACCTTCACTCTTGTGCTACCATTACCAGCTTCTGACAGAAGACTGGTTTGGGCTTTTCGCATTGGACCCCTTAGCTCCACGTTTGCTTCCATTGTATGTCTCGTCCTTATCATTTCTACGGAATCTGTTTCTGCATCCTTCTCTAAAACATTCGAGCAAACAGCCGTGCTGTCTGCATCCATTTGTCGACATGCCTCACCTCCGTGTCGTGCATCCATAGGCGCCAATCGCTGGAGTACGCTCACTGCTGCACCACCTTTTCTGCCACCAATACAGGCTGTCGCACCCAGTTCATCTTGCTCGCACCCAGAAGATGACCGATCCTGCCTCCAAACTTCACACCGACGAATCATCGCATTCCAATCCTCTCGTTCCTTTTCTCCTTCTATTTGTGCTACACCATTCGGTTTCCGCTTTGTTGGACCCTTTCCTTCCGCAACCCGAGATCGGGCGGTGATGCCGATGTCACGGATGTCCAACGAACTGTCTCGAGTCGTCAAGTCCGTAAATGCTGCACTGCCTAGAGAAGAGGCATGGCTGTTATTGCTGCAGCTGCTGCTGTTGGGTTTGTCATTGATTTTGGTGCTGGCGTGATTATTGCTGTTGTTGCTGTTGTTGTTGTTATTGTTGTTATTCGGCAGGATTACCCTCAGATCTGCCGCATCGTCTTGCAGAGTAACAGCTTCCGCATCGTTGCATTTGTTTCCATCGATGACATCACCTGCGCGGTCATCGGCACCCTCTCCTCCTTGCCGTTCTTGTGGACTTCTCATCCTGCCAGAAATCTGCAAACAACCCTTGGAGGCCCAACCTTTGGTCTGTAAGATGGCTTTCTCAAGACTGGAGTGCGGCGCACTGGCCACAGGTTTCTCTTCCAGTCCCGACCACCCAGTTATCGGCCAAACTGTGTCCCTATCTGGCATAGCTACCCCATCTCTGACACGATCACCAGCACAAATTGTGGTGGGGCGCTCCCAAGCTGACGACAACAGGTTTGGCTGCCGAACTAACAAGTTGGGTTCGACCTTATGCCAATGCCCATCAGGAAGAGGTCGATCCTGAGGATTGTCACTCCCATCCATCGGGCGTTTCCACGTCTGGCCACTGCGTGTGACGGTTGAGCTCCCGACTGAGGGGTCTTGCCTTCTTTCTGTGACCCTCTCATCGGATCCGGCACCCCGTCCTGTCACTGCTGACATCACTCCTATTATCCTTTCTGCTGATCGTCGCAGACAGGTCTCTTTGATACCAGAAAGGTCCCGTGCGCCGGTCGAGTGTCGGTTTTTGTCTGTATCTACTACTGCTTTGGAGTCGAGTGTCTCATCACAGACAGAGTCATCTTCCCTCTTTCTCTTCCCCTTCGAAGACACGATGTCTGCGACGCAATTCGCGCTTTCCACATTCTCGGCAGCCATGCTCCCATTGGCCCACTTCTGCGGAGATCCCTGCGGCACGTCGACGATCTGTCGGGGCTTAGTGCCATGCCAGTGGGACTCCAACCGGGCGCCGCCATTGTATTCTATAACCACCCTTTCTTCTTCTTCTTCTCCTCCTTTGTCAAGACACCCTGCATCTCTGGCAACTCCACCATCATCGTCTCCCGGACAAGAGCTTGTGTCTAACTGCGTGCTTCTCTTAGCTAGGATCTCCTCGACGCTCCGTCTCGATGGCTCAACCAAGTGCCTGCCATCACCGCTCGTATCTGTCGGCTCCGTCGTCTGCGACCCAAGCACTGGCCTGTTCCCCCTCCGCTCCCTACTCATACCTTCCTTTCTCCACCATGCCTCCATGCCGATCGCGATTTGAGGCCCATCTCGCACTTGAAGGCCGAAAGCATTCTCCGGCGCCCTCTTGTGTCCTGTTTCATCATCGCTGGCGCATGTCGCCCTCATGTCGGTATCGTGCACATCCTTCAAATTGCTCTCTGATTGCTGAATACAAACTCTTCCATCCCCCTCCCCCTCCCCATCCCTAGGTGTCTGCATCCTTAATCTGTGGAGGATCTTCTCCTCTTCGACCAAGGCGTCGCCTCCCATTTGTGCCTCCGAATTTGGAGAATCGACTTGATTCATGGAACCGGCCGCATTCGGAATGCATCTACGCAAACACCGTAAGCTCTCGGCCAGCGCGTCGGCCGAAAACTCCCTCTTGTTTGCACTGTTGATCTGCTCCTCCTGCCCTCCGTTTCCCAATCCAGCGTCCTGCGCCCCCCCAGATGTCCCTCTTAGCCCTTGAAGGGGGGAACTCCAACGGGCTCCCCCGTCAGTGGCAGGCACCACCCATGGCACGTCCAGCTGTGGCGCTGAGGCTTTCAGGAGGCTCGACATGCGTGCCGGATCTACCCACGGTAGAGCAAACTCCATCCTGTCAATCTACGATGCGCAAGGGTGGGCACAAACGAAATACAACGCGCAAGGAAGGGCACAAACGAAAACGTGGAGCGGACTCTGAGTCTCAAAGATGTACAAAAAACAACACAAGCAGCAGAGAGAAGGATCTGCCGTGGTAATCAAATCGTTCATCAATCCCCTTCTCCCTCACCTCCCCCCCCCCCCCCCCCCCCCCCCCCCCCCCCCCCCCCCCCCCCCCCCCCCCCCCCCCCCTCCCAACTCCGTCTTTTTTTTTTTTTTTTTTTTTTTTTTTTTTTTTTTTTTGGTAAGCGGGGGGGGGGGGGGTTGGTTGTGGTGGTTGGCCTTGCGTGGGGGGGGTTTTTTTTCTTTTGTAAAAAAAAAAAAAAAAAAAAAAAAAAAAAAAAAAAAAAAAAAAAAAAAAAGAATTCTGGGAACCCATGAGAGACAAAATAATTGACTACGTAGTACGTAGGGGTAGTCCAGGGGAAAGGATCTTTTGGGCGCCTTATGCCCCATCACCACTTTTTTTTACTATATAATAAAAAGAGGGGACAAAAAGGAAATAAGTTCAAATAACTTCAAATAAGAAACTATAGACCCATCACTATCCTTTCCCTTCTATACAAGATGGTGGCCACAAGTCTGACCAATAGACTCCTGCCATACATGAACCTCATCATTCATCCAGACCAAACTGGATGCATGTCAACTACAGTCTTCTTCCCCCGAATACAAAGTACGGTCATTATAGCTGAATTTGGGATATCTTTCAGTCTACATACAGCGATAATGACCGCAAGTTGTATTCGGGGGAAGAAGGTAGGGACGCTCAAGATGATATCCTCCCCGCCGATAAGATAATCAAGTACACGCACGCCGCATAGAAGAGCGGATGCAGCCATGCTGCTCATTGACTTTGAAAAGCCATATGACCACATGGATATGTGCTTACCCATCTCTGCCACTCCCATCTGGCCTCTTCCCCCCTCCTCCCCCACCCCCACCCCTCACCCCTCCTTCGCCCTCCTGCCCCTCCCCTGGCCCCCCCCGCTCCTCCCTCTTACACCTTCTGCCCTTGGGGCTCTTTGGGTGATAGATGGATGGATGGACGGATGGATGGATGGATGGGCGGATGGATGGACGGATGGATGGACGGATGGATGGATGGATGGATGGATGAACACGTGTGCTTGGGTAAAAAATAGAAAAAAAAGGGAAGAACATGGCTGAGTGTGCATGACTCTGGAGGCCCCCTTGCATGTCAGCATGTCAGACAAGAAAAGTCCACTCTTATCTCACATACCTAATCGGACAAACTGGCTACGGTCTTCACCCGAATAGAACGCCCGGTAATTATCGCCGTATCTGGGCTGAAAGTTGTGCCAAATACAGCTATAATGACCGGGCGTTCTATTCGGGTGAAGACGGTAGGCCTCCCACTGACCTGTGTGATGCGGTCCTGCAGCCTGCATTAGCCCCCCCTGTATGCCCATAAAGGTATTAACCAACCTGCAAACATCATGTAATAAGGTAGGTACCAGCCTGGAGTCCTCCACCCTAGGTCCCACTACTCCCCCCCCCTTCACCCCCTCTCCCACCCCCCCCCCCCCCCCCCCCCCCCCCCCCCCCCCCCCCCCCCCCCCTCTCCTCTCAACCTGGCTGCAGGGTGACTGATAGGATTTGTTTTTCAGCTTGTCCAGCAGCCTGCAGTCTTTACGCTCCCCCCCTCCCGCCCCCGAAAACCCAGGCCCCTTGTATTCTGCGGGGCAGCAGTCCGGTTGCTCATCACCGGAAAGCCGAATTCGACCTCTCCCGCTGTACCCACTCACACCCAGCCTGCAGATTTCTGAGCCTTTCTCCTGCTAGATCACCAGCCTGCAACCAGATTCACTGCCTGGACTTCTGGTGGCGGTCTGACGGCCTGCAGATCAGTCTGCAAACCTGATCACAAAGTGCAAAGCAATGTCAGGCTTTTTTTTTTTTTTTTTTTTTGGACCATATCTCGATTTGTGCGTGTCATCCGTGCGCAGGGGCAATGCTTATCTTCTCTGCATCGTCCCAATTTTAAAGGATGTCATGAAGGGCACAATGTCAGGCGTCTTGAGTGCACAGGCAGGCAGTTCTGGTACGCTGCCGATCAGTGCCTTGCCCACCTGTCCACCTGCAGATAAGTGCACTCTGCCAGCCTGCAGATCAGTACAGATACCTGATCGCGAAGGCCAAAGCATGTCAGCCGTCCTCAGAGGGAACTCTGCTGCAAAAGCCTTAGGCAATGACCTCTGCCTGAGGGCGAACTCTGCTGCAAAAGCCTTGGGCAATGACCTCGAAAACGCCGCCGATGGGTGTCTTCAACTTGCCTACTCACCTGCCAGCCTGCAGATCAGTACGCAATGTACGGATGGATGCCTGATTGGTAATCGCAAAGCATGTCAGACGTCATGAGACCGAACTCTGCTGCAAAAAGGCTTTAAGGGAATGAGGGCTGAGCTCTAAAGCCCTGCCATGTCAGATCGGTATCTTGAACTGTCTTCCCTAATCACCTGCAAGCCTGCAGATCAGTGCAGCTGCAAAGGCGATGGTGACCAATCATCACCAGTCTGCCAAGGAAGCTTACGGCATACTCACAAACGGCCATTTCCGAATGTGTATTTCTTGACCGGAATTGCGAATTTAAGACCCATCGTCTTTTTTTTTTTTGCGCCCCCCCNNNNTAACTTTTTCAAATACAGGATTATACAGCAACAAATTATCCTCCGTCCGTCCATTTTTGAATTAATTTTTTTTTTTTTCCTAACAACTACAAAATTATTTACAGATGATTACGCCGATCGTTATGCTATTACCAGCTTACTTTTAAGCATTTTCGATTTTTTTTTTTTTTTAATTGAGTATTTAAAGTATTTTGCATTATGGATAAAGCCTCCGTGAGCCCACCCGTCATGCTGCTGTAGCCCAAACCCCCAAACCCCCAAGCCCCCAATAGAATTAAATTTGTTTTTTTTAGTTCTTTTCGTGTGTTTGATTCATGGATGCATGAATCCAGCGAGGGGGGAGGGGGGGCCCACAAGCAAAGAGGATTGGATTAAGTGCCTGAATCTGGACATATTTTATGCAGAGATGCAGAAAGCAGATCAATCACGATTTTTTTCACCTCCACACAAACATGTCCAGGTTCGGGCGTCAAATCCAATCCACTTTGCTAGAGGGGACCTAGCCCCAGGTGGTGGTGGTGTCACTTGCTGTGTGTCGTTTCGCCTTTTCCCATGTGTGTCTCAGTGCCTAAATCTACCACCCTCGAGATGTGCCAAACAGTCAGTGCCCGCTTGTATTTAGTGCCTGGCAAAATAACCTGCAAGGCTGCAGCATTATTAGGGGTGCTATCGAGTTTTGGATGCCTATTTCTCTGTGTGTGTTTTCCAGCGGTGAAAAAAACATGCGTCCGTCGGGTAGCTTTACGGCTCCTTTTTTTTTTTTTTTTTTTTTTTTTTACCCTGACCCCAGATGGCAGTGTGAACCTGCAGATTCATCTCGAGTCGAACAGTCACACGTGCCGAGTCAATCAAACCTCGCACTCAAAGTGGAGAGTCGATCGTGGCTCAACCATGCAAGTCTCTTTTTTTTTTTTTTTTTTTTTTTTTTTGGAGACAAAGAGGACCATAAGCTGTGCACGCCTGCAGTCGAACAGTTCGTCGGGGAGCCGTTTCTGATACGTGCTTCATGTTTTTTTTTTTCCCCAACTACTTCGACTTGCGTTCTGTCTATTGTCTACGTGTGACTCGTGTACTTCAATTGCTTTTTTTTTTTTCTTTTTTTTTCCCGTGAACTGTGTATTTCCATTGCTGATTGCACCTTGACTTCATTACATTTACGTCTGTGCCGACGGATCAGAAATGGGACCAGCGGAACAGAAACTGGGCGCCCGTCGAAAAGAAACAGGACCGGCGGAATGAGCTGTGGACCTTGTTGGCATTGTCCTTACCATGATGGAGTCTATGCCCTTGAACCGGATCATGCCCATTCTTCAAAGAACCTGGACAAGCGCAATGACCAGGTTCGTTAGGAAACCCAGCGGCGTCCTAGAGAGGCAGAACCTGGTGGTCACATACCGAGAAACATACAAAAGAACAGTGGCCACCACTTATCAGTGTCGAGCCCCTTTTTTTTTTTTTTTTTTTTTTTTT